ATCGACGAACTGGGCGAACCGCGGTACCACAGCTGGGCAGCTCTGATCCAGGTGGCAGTGGAGGACACGGCCATGTCGCAGCAAGATCGAGACGTTCTGACTGCACATTTCAATGGAGTTAAGTCTGTAGCCGATCTTACGGACAAGGTGTTCATCGCCAAGGTCAAGCGGTGCATAGCGGTGCTATGACAAACGCGTGAACAAAGTCCACCTGGCCACCTGGCAGTGTGTGCTGAGCTGAGCCCCGTACTTGATGCCTTGCTACGTGCCATGAGTCGTGCCGGAGGGAAGATCAAACGCGGCCAGCCACCACGCAGCGGGAATGACAGGGAGCTGCAGGATCTTGTGGACAAGCTTGCCAAGATCGTCCAAGACGATTGACGAGCGCGAGCACTGAGCGGGTGCACGGAGCATGCGTACGCCATGCTTTCCGGGGGTGGGCTGCAAGACTCTCGTGCCGTAGACTCTAGTCGGGCCTTGAGTTCTTGCTGTCTCCAGTGGCGGCGGTACAGCTTGTGCTGTGCTGTCGTGCGCTGTAGGAGGTTTGTGTTTCAAATGCTGTGGCGGTCATTTCTGCAATATGCCACCTGCTCAACCATGACGCTTGGACGTCAGAGAGCTGTGGAAGAAGAAGAAATGCCCGCAGTGCTGGATTGCCTAGGACACAGCCCTTGCAGGGCTCTCTTTTGACTGACGCCAGCAGAGAGAGGCGCGTGTCTGTCTTAAGCTTGAATGCCCTTGGCAAATCATGATGTGCGAATTATGCGAGTTGATGCGAGTTGCAAGGCATGTTGCATGGCGCAGAATGCTGCTCAAGCTTCAGTGTGGTTCAGGTCTATCGATGCAAACTGCAATGATCAGAGCAGCGGCCAAAAGGGCCGCACCGCAAGACTGAATTTCTACTCTCACGGTACTGGCAGCAGATTGTCACAGTTTGGGTCTATTGTGGGCATTGCAAGAACGAAAGGGTGTGTGTGTGTGTGGGGGGGGGGCGTCAAACGCACAAATGAAACACCAAAATCCTTGTCTCAATAGCGCTAAGTAAGGATAGTAATTACAGGGCTCCAACCGCTCGACCCGTCAAATTCCAAACCGATGCTCACCTCCCTGAAGTTTCGCAGTCCTTTCATAAATCATGGGCCAGTGTTCTCGGCAGCTTGATTGAGGACAAGCATGTGGACGCATAGAACAAGAGAAAGATGTGCAGCACAGCTGATATGATGCAGATGTGTGTGACGTTTCTCCACTCACAGCGCCACTTTCCCTGCACATTTAAGTGTCAGGAAGCCACAGGAGACCTGCTTCCAACAGAAGACAGCCAGAACAGGCGCAGGCCTACATCTAAGTAAGAACCGCCCCCTTCACATCAGGGACATTGCTTCAAATGGAAAACGGATTGCACAAAACCTCAATGCACAATCCTGTGAGCTTGCGCTGGTGATGGGACCCCGATCCTATCATAAGCAGAGTCTTGCCAAAGTATCCTACCCCAACCCCGTACCACACCCCGATGTGGGAGATGGGAGGGGAGTGGGTGATGGGAGTGAGGGGGTGAGGAAATTAAGGGAGTGAGGCGAGCGATCTGGGGTAGACGCTCGGAAGTGGTCGCAAGCTCATGCACCGAATTGCTCTTCATCGCGCGCCGTGGCCTCCCGAACAGCACTCTGAAACAACTCTTCCCTGCCACGTGCACCAGGCCTTCCAAACCTCCTCGACGAGGGCCAAAGTATCCTGCAAACCATCGAGAGGCCCAACAAAACTCACAGAACAGTGCCGCGCCTCGTCCCACGCGTTTGTCTGGCGTGCTAGACTTTCCTCTACCCGCCGGTTCAGCATGCCGACCTGCCTCAGTTATAAAGTCGCAGGCGGGACCTTCAGCGTTGGCGCTGTTGTACGCCCAACTCAGTCCCGTGCAGCGCGGTCGGGGCGGTGCACCTGGCTGGATGCGCCGAAGCGGCGGATTCCTCGCGGGAAACGTCTGCGTGGCACGATGCTGCACCAGTTCCACAGAAGACGGTCTCAGCTCCCTGCGCCAGGCAGCCGCATCTCAAGTGGAGCCTCGCTTGGGAGGGCACTGGTGCGATCCAAAACAAGATGCATTGGCAGCTCAGAGCACGGCGCGAGTGCTTGGACGATCGTCGTATCGAGGATACGATGCCTGCCACGAGAATCTCACATGTCGAATTGCACTGCTCAGAGCTTCTTGCGTCAGCTCTGAGATTCCTGCTGTCGATGTTGCCCCACGGATGGGCTGTGAAGCATGGGAGTTCCGGGAGGATACCCCATCAAGGACCCCATCCCTGTATGGAATCAGGGCAAAGGCACCTCAAGTTCGAGCAGTCTTCCCGGATGAAGTGAAGAAGCGAGTGGCACGCAGCATCTGAACACCAAACGATAACTCGTGATCCCGAAACCCTGACCCCCGAGCCTTCCCGAAGCGGAACTCCACATTAGCGGCCTCTGCCTCTCAATGGTATGGGTGAAGGCGGAAGGGTCTAGAGGGATTCTGGTTGCTGAAATCACTCCAAGCCTAAAGACGGTACTTTGGTTGGGGTAATCATAGAGACATGGATCAGGTGCCGTTGTCCATAACCTCCAGCAGCTATAGGATGCGCGAGCTGTCGTCATCGTCGGTTACGGCCACCAGAGCAGCATGGCTTCTTACGCTACCCCCCCCCACCCCCCCGGAAGGAATAGGATACAGACACCGAAAAGGTAGATCGGAATGGATGCGGACCTAGGGATTCTTCTTATTCTTATTAATATTGTTCCTTCTTACTCATATTATTGTTATGTGTTTTGATACTCTTTTTCCATTTTTTGAATAGAGGGATGAATTAGCAACAGCAGGTAGCACAGGCAGTACAGAGTCCGGGTACCCAAGTGGCACACACACACACACGCACAATTGCCATCACTTTGTCAGGGTCGTAAAAGCAGCGAGTAAAAAACCCATTTCTTGGGACAGGCGCAAAAACGTGATTGTGAATCTCTTTTGGCTGTCATGATGCACACGTTTGGGACTTGCTTGAGATCTGGTTTCGATTTTTCAGATGCGGAGGTTCTATACAGTTTTCTGACAGCCATCTTCCCTCCAGTCAGGCCTTGCCCACACCGTGAAGCCAGGAAGCCACAAAGCACGCACGACAGCCACTCAGGAACCCGGATGAACTGGCACCGGCTGTTGGCAAGGATACGGAGGCCAAGATGCAGCCGGGCAGCCGACAAGGCAAACCCGGCATGCTTCCAGACTGAAAGACCCACGCAGACAAGACGCCACACAGGCCAGGCGAATGCCCGCCCCGCTCGGCCAGAACTTGCAAGACAGCTGCCCATCAGTCTGCAAGAAGAGCTTCAAAGGAAAATCTTGCCCCAGGCACTGCATCCAGCTTCGAACACAAAGGCCGGCTCTCAGCTGCATTGCCGTTAAGGGTGTCATGCTCTTCTGAACTTTCTTGTTGTTAGTGTTTACTGGGTAGTTTGCACTTGTTCGCACTTCTTTTCCTGCAACTTTGCTTTTGCCATGCTGTCCCTAACAACTCTTGAGCAATTTTTGGCCGCTGCTGTGATGGCGGTAGGGGGCTGCGTGCTGTTGGCTCCTGGTTGAGAAGCCGTCATATGCGAGATGCAAAAACAGGCCTTGCGGCCTTTCGAGAAAACCGTGCAACTTGAAACTATGTTCTCCGGTGGACTGGGATTGTGAGATCTCGGAGTTGGAAGGTTTAAGGGTTAAGGTCCACATAAGATCTGCTTCAGGGTTCTAGGGCCTCAGGGCGCTGTCCTTGTAGCATTTGCTGGAGTCTGCTATGTTGAACCATCCCGGCAATGCCTCCCTCAACCCTGAACTCTGAACAGTCTCTTGGAAAGGCCTGGGTCACGTGGCTCTGCGCCTAGAACAGGCCGCGGGCCAAGGCTTAAAGGGGATCACATGAGGGGTTCCTTGCGGGGTTTCTTGAAGGGTTTAGGGCATAGGGCTCGCATAAGGGTTCCTCATCCTCGGTTTTGCATTGAGGTGCTTCGGGGGCCTTGATAGCGTGCGGCAAGGTAGGATTCACACGAGGATTTAGGGCTTCGGGTTTAGGATGACAGGCTTCTTAACCATTTCCTGTAAGACGTTTGCAGGTTCTGTGGGAACTTCATACGGGATGCTTCTGGGTTTTTTGGAATGTTATATCAGGATGTAAGGTTGCGTTGGGGAGTTCCTTTACTGGATTCCTTCTCAGGGTCCTCTAAGGGCTCCTTAAAGGCTTCCATTATGCGTGTATGAGAGCTGCTTCAAACCCTCAATGCTGAGATCTAAAACCCTAACCTAAGCCCTTGAGCAAACCTGAACCCCGCAAGTTTTGAAAAAGAAAAACAAACTGCAGAACCCTGGTATCCCGAATCTACCACAACACCGAAATATCGGGGCCCCTGCACCCTAAACCCTAAACCCCAAACCCCAAACCTGAGTGCCTGAGACTGTGCGCTCTTCACGGCGGACTCGGCCTGGTGGAACAGAGCGGCTCTTGCCCCGGCACCCTTTTACACCTGGACTATGCATATGCCAGGAACCGAGGCGCCGATAAACCCTAAACCTGAGTTTTTTTTTAGGTTTGGGGTTTCGGGATTAAGGTTTAGGGTTTGAGGCTTAAGGCTTGGTTTAGGGCTTTGGGTTTAGAGCTTCGGGTTTAGGGGCTTTAACGCTGGAAAGGACACTCCGGGAACAGGAAGCATGTCATTAAACTCATTCAAGAGGCGTTGTCTCTGAAGGAACTCCAAAACAAAAGATCCCCTCCTTGCTCCCTTCGATTCCAAAAACTGGAACGTCCTGAAAACCTGAAGCCCTCAACACCAAGTTCAAAAGCACGGCCTAAGCCCTACAGCCCTAAACCCTAAGCCCTAAACCCTAAGCCCTAAACCCTAAGACCTAAACCCTAAGACCTAAACCCTAAGCCATCAACCCTAAGCCATAAATCCTAAACCCTGAGCCCTAAACCCGAAGCCATCAACCCTAAGCCATAAATCCTAAACCCTGAGCCCTAAACGAAAAACCCTAAGGCCCTAACCCCTTGAGGATGACACCGGCGCACCTGGGATTGCGCACTCTGCACGGCAGAAGCCGCCTTCAGCTGCAAAGGAGGGTTCAGGGTTTAGGGTTGAGGGCTCAATATCGGGGACTTAATAAACGGAATAGGGTTCCTTTCAAGGGGTCTATAATGACTACTATAAGGGCTAGTATAAGGATGTAGTACAGGGGCCTTAATACATGGAATAGGGTTCCTTTAACAGAAAGGCGTGTCGTGGACAAATAGTATTGGTAATGATTAATCAAGGCCCCTATAGTAAGGGTTTAGGCCGTGGGGCTGTAGAGTTTAGGGTGTAGGGTTCAGCGTTTAGGGTTTGCGGTTTCATGAGCAGCTGGGGATTTGCAACTGTTGAAAGCTTTGGTTAAGGGCTTGAAGTTGTTCGGTGGTTCCGGGTTCTAGTCATAGTCTGCTTGGTGGCTTGGGTCGGTGAGGTGGGCTGGTTTAAGGTTCAAACATTACCCGTGAAGCCGAAGAAACATCCGTAGGCCCCACGCGGTGCAAGCGCAGCAGGGCATGCCTTACCCTGGATGGTATGCTATTGCCGATATTTGCTAGCTCCACTACCATCACGTTCCTGTTGCCTACCCATGCACACCCAAACACCCACAACAACCATAAAGATCCAAGAGCAGTCCCACAGAAGCCTTACTTGAGCCCTGATCTACCCTAAACCTTAAACCCTGGACCTAAACCCTAAACCCTCGACCCAAACTCTAAACCCCTAAACCACGGCTAAACCAGAGACCTAACCCCTAAACCTAAACGCCGAAAAGACGTCCAAGGAGGCGCCTTGTCCGCCCCGGCCTGGAAAGTGGCGCTCACCTGGGAAGAACCCCCAGCTACAGAGTCCCCTTGTTCGGGTTTAGGGTTTGGGCTTCAAAGCTTTTTTTTGAGCACCTTTTTCCAGCTAGCAGTTAAGGCCGGCAGAAGGTTTAGGGTCTAGGGTTTAAGGCTCTTTTTTTGAGGGCCCTTTTCAAAAAAAAGGGCCCTCAAAAAACAAAGCCTTAAACCCTAGACCATAAACATTCGAGGTTTAAGGCAGCTGAGTAATTATAAATAAGGTTACAAGCGGCTAAATTCGGGATAGAAGTACATAAAACTAGAATTACCGTTCTATTGGCTAAGCTGGTCCCTTACATAGGGCTCAAGTTAGACGTGTAGCGTCCGCGGCACTCGTCTTCTCAATTGGATTGGGTGCCGACTCAGATGTGCCCATAGATTTATATGAGCTTTAGGCCAAACTGCACCCTAAACCCTAAACCCTAAGTTAATGGGCGTGGACAGTAAGGGGGATCTACACCATGGAGATGATTGAGAATCCTAAGGGACAGGCAATTACCCGGTTCCCATCCCCTGATGAGTTATGATAAGAAGACCCCTGAAAGCAACCCTAGAAAGTAACTCCGAAAGGAACCCTTCAAGCTAACCTTAACTAAAGTTAACCCGAACCCTCTTGAGGAGTGAAGGCTTATCAGGATCTACCTTCCGTGGCTAAGGCTTCTGTGCTGGTCCGAATGCCGGATCCTGCAATCCTGAACCACCCCAGAAAATCCATAATGCAGGACTAAATCCTACAGGTTAAACAAAGGTACATAAACAGCCCATGTAACAAAAGACTGAATGGAAGTACTCAGCTTGTACCAAAACCTTATGCAAAGAATCGAAGACAATTTCGGTCATATACATATACATATATATATATATATATATGTGTATATATATATAAATGTATATATGAATTATGTATCTGTTAACTTATTCATTCATTTCAATATGTAGAAAGGCTTCAAAAGCCAACGAATCCGACGCCCGGCCTGATCTTCCGCCTGCTGCACGGAACTTTTGGCCTGGCTCACGGCCTTCGGAAAGCTCGGGGCGCAGGGTGCGGGGGGAGAGTTTACGGCTTAAGGTTTAGGGTTGTTTGAGGTTTAGGGTTTTATGGTTTAGGGTTGTTTAGGTTTAGGGTTTTGGGGTTAAGGGTCCAGGGTTTAAGGTTTAGGGCTGTTTAGGGTTTAGGGTTTGGGGTTTAGGGTTTCTCGTCTTTGGCACTAGAAAGGGAAGGCCAAAATTGAAAGTTCGAAAAGAAGTTGCTAGTTTTCTTGATTAGCGTTTAGAGTTTGGGGGTCAAGGGCTGAGCTTTGGGCTTTAGTGCTAAGTGTTTTGGGGCCATTCTAGCGAGATTCCAGTGCGCCTCACGATTGTTTTGTGTTCAATAAGGGTTTCATGCGGGTTCAGGATTAGCTGGAGCTTGCAGTCTTTATCAGGCTTCTGCATGTGTAGCATCGTTTTAGGGGTTCAGGGTTTACGGGTTTAGGGCTTAGGCATGCTATGGCTTGGACGCAACATAGCGGCCTACCTCTTCGGTTCACGGCTAGCTACGAGTAGGATTATAAGCCCCTCGCTCTCCTGGTGGACCCTATGTGCCCTGTACCACGGGGGCCTTATACCCCAAAGCCACACAAGACAGGAGCTACGATCCTTCCAACCTAACTGAAACTACTAGACCTAGAACCCAACCTAAACCAAAAGAGCATGTCCATTATGCCTTCTAAGCCTTTAGGCATTCCCTACACCCCTATGCCTTGCGGAATGCTGGACGCCAAGGCTTCCCACACCTCAAACCAGTGTTGGGCTTCTGACACTCGGGTACATCCGGGTACATCTTCCTCAGCAAAGAACCTTCCTCGGCCCTCATTGCTAAACCCCAACAGCCGAAGCCCTCCTGAATCCTAAACGGCCCTAACCCTGCCCCACTTCCGCAACTGCAACCTTCCTAAACCCTACTTCCTAAACCCCAAAGCCTCCTGAACCCAACTTTCTCCAGCCTACTGCCTCAACGCTCTTTCCCAAGCTCTCCTTCCAAAACCCTGTAGCCAACCTGCTTCATGGCTTCCTCGACTTTGCTCGCTGCCTTCACAGTGGTTTCGGGTTTAGGATTTCGGGCTTATGCGATGATTTCTGTGGGGATTATGCGCATTCAACCGGGTCTCTCAACGTCTTTCTAGTGGGTCATAACTCTTCGTAGAACCTACTCTTAAAACATCAGAGCTACTCTTAAAACATTGGTCCCTTCTGATCATCTTTGCTTTCAAGATCTTTTCATTCGTTGGATTAACAGGCAAGTCAGAGGCACAGCATGCTAGACTTTGCAAGCTCGTTCCGCAAACGCCCTTGTCGAACCCATTCACTCGGATCATCCTAGCTGGCGAACTATCCACAGTGCTGGCAAGTTGTTCTTGTTGTCACACTTGTGCGTCTCCGTTCCGGGGCCTCACATCACAGTCAGGGTTTATGGAAGAAGTGGGACCTGTAACCTTGAGAAATACCCAGTGGAACTTCGAAGATCACCTGTCGTGAAATCTGGCCGAGGTGCTTCGAACGCCATGTTGTGCCTCAGCAGCTCACATGATTTCCAACCATGATCAAAGGCTCCCCTTGAAGATTCCGGCGTCCGAAGTGTACAGCTTCCGCCTTTCTAGGCACAGTCTTCAACAAGCGTGGTGCTCGTTGCTATGTCCTCTCTTGTCAAGAATAACGATGTCACCTCCTAGACCTTCTTGTTACTGAACGTTTCCGTGCCTTCTCTGTCTCTTTGTCGGGGTGTGGGTCAGAATTTGAAGGCAACTTCTGAATACCTCTGAATGCCTCTGAATCATAGTTTAATGTAGTTTACAATACAAGGACAACAAGATCTAAACCACTTCTAAACCGAGGTACAGCGCAGAAACTGACGGAGAAGCGGGACGAGTGCACGATTGGACCGAAGAGCTGCAAGGGATGAGTGGAAAGATCCCGTGAGGGCGGTTTCGACGCTCACACTCGCACAAAGGCAGGCAAGGCTCCACAGGGTTTACGCTTTACGCTCTCGCAACTCGAACAAGCCAGACGAGGTTCTTGGTTCGCGTCGGTATACTACAGTGGTTCAGTCGAGTCCATCCAGATGAAAGGGTTTAGGTTTTAGGGTTTATGGGGATTCAGTGTAGATTACATAAGGCGGCTCTCTGAACTCAAGTAGGAAAGACCAATAAAGCTGCACTGCAGGAGCTGCGAACTGCTCGCCAAAGCCTTTTTGTGCAGCAGTGACCGTAGGTGGTTGAAGCCTATGCTTCCTAGTTGTGAAGCCGGCAGTGGGAGCAGGGCAAGTTATTTTGCTCATTTGCAACAGGGCCAGCAGTCCCTGCCAATTCATGCTTCGCGTCACATGCTACTACCTCTTACGGTATGCAAGTGTCGCCGGTTGGTCCAAGGCTGTGCTGTGCAAGTCATGATGGAACTGCGCCGGGAATACGCGTCTTTGACGCTGCTGCCACTACAATCGCGAAAATCACTCCAGGGAGCGGACCGATCGTGCCATCTTTGTGACCACCGGACATTGGGTCAAAGGTTTGCTTTGCAGGGTCCGTCTTGAAAGCAAGAAACATGCTGCCGCGCCTGACTTTCACCGCCTCACGTTCGAGATGCATTCGGCGGAATTCTGGCCGCGGCATGATCTCAGCATATGTGTCTTCCTGCGAGGTTCACTTGAGAATGCTGGCTTCGTACTTCGGAGTTTATGCCCAGCATGCCTTGAGCTCGCTGTGGCTTCAACCAAGGATGTGGGTGAAATGCAACACTGCAACACTCATCCATGCCGCATGCTGCAGTTCCCATGTGTGGCTTCTAAGCATCCAGGACCCGGCATAACGCACACCTTTCTCACTCGCTCGCCTTACTCTCGCAGTCGGTGTAACACAGTATGACGAGCATAAACGGATGTTGCTTTACAAGGGGTGTTGTTCTCTGATTTGCTTGGGTGCTTTTTTGGACTGCCGGCTAAGGGGTTAAGAGATTCAAGCAGACATGTGAGAAACGAAGGAATTTAACGCTGACCTATGCACATGTCTGCAGTCTGCAGTTCGCGCTTACTTACTTTTGTGATGGTGCCAGATTGGCGGCCCGCGGCCATGCATCTCAGCAAGTCTCCGGCGATCGCCCGGCATCCTGGCCGCGCTGCACAGGAACGAAACCGAGTTTGCACACAAGCTCGCACGGCTAAACAAAAAGCGGAGGGACGCAATGGTGGATTCATATCTGTGAGCAAGCCCGTCCGGCTTCAAAAAGCGTTGGTTGGGGGGTAAGGCGCCTCGGGTGCCTATGGGACAACTGCACAACCGCTGCCGGGGAAGCCTTTGCGCCGCGACCAGACTCCACGAGACCCGCGGCCTTGAGCGCTTGCGCGGGCCGAGGAAGGTTGCCAGGGAGCCGCATCACGATCTCCCGGAGCCGGCCCATGAAGCCTCAAAACCAGGGGCAATCAGTAAACCACAAAATGACCCTCAGTAGAATGAGAAAAAAGGCATCAATGCCGAAGTCAATTGAGCCCACCTCCCATGCCGACATCTTCGGCCATCTCGCTACCACAGCAGTTTAGGTTTCATATACAGACAAGGTAGTCGAACATTGTCTAACATCAGCACTTGGAACCCTAAAGCCTAATCCGTAAACTTGGCTTCTGCAGGATGGCGGATGGCGGGTTGCTCCAATCACATGGAGACGCTGTAAACCGTGCCGCCAAGGAAAGGTTGAAATGCTACCTCCAATGCCCGAGATCCGAAAAACTGCGAGACTTATCAAGGCAGAACAAGATGTCACGCTTGCTTTCTTCATGTTCCGTCCACTCCAGGTGTGCGACTGATTCTGACCCAACCAGATTCCCACTGCGACCTCCCTCCCTCCAAAAGCCTATGACCAAGCAAAATGCACACACGCCCGTCTACATAACACTAAACCGTTGTCACCAATCATTTTCTCATGCCTTCCCACGGACGACCCAGGTTTCAGGCGGTCCGCACAGGTATGGACGGTACGGAAAACTCAGCTTGACGATGAAGGCCTTGGTGCGTGCAGGCTTGCAACTGCGCAGCCTGATCGAACATTTTCGGCAATCGCTGCGTTACAGCTCCGATGGAACCTGTAAAATTCTATAAACCCTACACTTATGAGCTTACCACTTGCTTTGGTGGGGGTGGGCCCAAGGTTTGAACTTAATCTGTGGATCGCTCGCAAACCCCACACTCAGTGTCCTGGCCTCACAGAAAGTGCTGCCAGGCGAGCTTTTTCACCCCCCGCACCTCGGTACACAGGGTTTGTTGTTTTCTTCCCCTCCTGCACGAGGGGTTTAGGGTTCAGGGACCTTCAAAACCGCCCAAAGTTGTCGAGGTCGAAGAGTTTAGCTCGGCACTTGGGACCCCATGTCGACGAGCACTTCCAGCATCTCGCCGGACTCCATCTCCAACTGCAACAACTAATTTCGCGCGACTCAGCTCTCGTATTGCCACCATGTGCAAGTAGGTGCCAGCACATTCTGCCGGGGCTGCGGCACCGGCACACAGACGCACTGTCAAGCCGGTTCGCCCAGAAGTGTCGTGCCGAGCCTCAAACAAAATCTGCCTCTCCCTTCTAAACTGAAGCATTCTGCAGCAGGAATGTTCTGTTTCAGTTGCTCTGGCCAAAGCTTCTCATTTGCAAAATCTTTGAACGAATTGTGATTTGAAGGCTGTCGCACATCAACAAATGCTTCCCCAAAAGGTGTCGTGTTAGGTAACTTACACAGTCACATGTTTCTTCAGAATCGCAGGGAGTAAAATTTGTGGAGCCCGAGAAAGCCGCCAAGTGCCTCGCGCGTGCAGCAGTCTATGGACGCGTATACTCAAGCTCCTGAGAAACCTGAACTTGACCATGAATGATACCGCCGCGTCCCCGGCATATTTGCGCGACTTGACGGCATGGATAATATGCTGGCGGTAGGTTGCGGAGGCTCCTCGCGTCCAGACCTAATATCACTGACAGCCCTTGTAAAAGGGCTGCGAATCTCATCCATACCTCGCGCAAGGGATGCGTTGCCCGACAGCTTGGTGGTGAATTTACGAAAGGTCTGTCCGCGCTCTGCACAAAACCCTTCTTCAGCAGGTTCGATGCAGCTTACAGCCGCTTGGCAACCAGGCAATACGCATCAATGAGGCCAATGACGAGTGACTAGCTTCATATATATGTCACCTCTGCACTGCCCCGGACCTTGAGACCTGCCAACCTGTCCTTCATCATGCACTTAATTTCTTCCCTCACGTCTTCCAGACAGCATTCGAACATGTTCGAACTGGTTGAATCCCCAAAAAGCAGATACTCTGGCAACAGGCCAATCGACACCCCGGAGATCAAGGTCTTGAACAAGGAGGGGGATCTTGCAGCCGCATCATGTTTGTAGGCAATCGCTGGTGTAGACGAATGCAACCCTAAACCCATAACCCCATGCGAAATATGTACATATATGGCATGTAGGGCCTGAGACTTTTGTTTTGAACTTGTTGGGCTCAGCCGCAGAACATGCGCATTGGGCACTCAAGCTGGCTTCCTTGCAGGGCCCTAAGCAATGGGTACCGCGTGCTGAAGTACGAGCCCTAGCCCTATTCGAGTTGTACTCGAATGATGAGGTTCATTTCAATTGTGCTTCTTGGGTCATCAGAGTTTGCAGGTGCACCATCCAAAGTAGGAGGGTCAACAGGCAGCGAGTGTTATTCCTGTGCTCCCGCATCGGGACGCCGGAAAACCGAAAATCATTGCCCGGTCGGTCCTTCCTATATATATATATATACATATATATTCGAGTTTCTATGTTTATGTTTATATGAGTCTTGGTTAAAGTGGCTCGTGTTTCTTGCCTTCTCTCTTCTCGTGTTTCTTCTCTTCTCTTTCACACCCTCTTGTCTGCAGTCTTCTACTCTCTTTTCTCTTCTCCTCGTTTCGTTTGTCTTTTATTATGTTTCGCCTTAACTCGTTTCCGTGGACGCTAAGCGATTTTGTACGGTTCTGGGTTGCTTGGACACTCGGGCTGGGGCTGGGACCTTGAGCACTCGTGATCTTGAGCTTCAAACTGCTTCAATTCATATTCTCTCCTCTTCTCTCAACTCTCTGTCCTGCTCTCCTCTACGGTAAGACACATGCCTCATCAGGGGCCAGCGGCGACGGCGCTGCTTTGCGCCACGGCCAGCCGAGCCAGCCTCCAACTGACAAAGGTTGTGAACATTGATGGTGGCGTGCCTTAGTTTTCCATGCTCCACGGATACTAACACGTATGCTCTGGGAATCTGTATAATGCTATCATACGTGGCCCACAACAGTCCTTTCTGACATAACAATGGCCATCGTCAGTATAGTAGTCCGCACTAGTTTTTGGGCTCCCACATGGCGAGTCCGCACTAGTACTTATGCTAATATTAATGTCATCATTGCTAATCTTGCTAAAGTATGCCATTGTATGTATTTGTGATGATGGGCATATTATGATGATTTCTAACATCTGTTCTGGCGGGCAAGCTGCCGGTGTCTGCCTTCCTCGAAGTCTTTGATTGTAGTC